TCTCTGTGAGTTCAAGGCCAGCCTGGCCTACATAGTGAGTTCCAGGACAGCTGGGGTTACAGGGAGACCCTGTCTCAAAAAGACCAAAAAAATAAATAAATAAAAGATGTATGATGAATGTTTGCCAGTTCTCCCCTCCTTTAAATGTTGCTTTTTGTAGTTTAGAGTATGCAGTAGTTTTTAACCATTTCTTCTCTTCTTGACTGTTTTCTTCCTCCCAAATTCCTATTTTACTTTATCAGTTGATTCTTTGAGGTAAAAATCACTTGGAAGAAGCAGTTCATACCAGGAAGTGGAACTCCTCAGGCTCAGGATGTCCAGGTGAAGGAAGGCAGGAGGTTGGGTCCTTGGTCTACATTGTTCCATTCTTGACAGTTCTAGATGTGGATGTTTCCTGACGCCATGACAGCAGTCACTTCTGTTTCTTTGCTTCAGCTTCACTCATGTGTTCTGTGGGATGCTTCTATTTCCACAGTTCTGAATTTCCGTACAGATGCACCTCTGACAGCAGAGCAGTTTTATATCCCAGTTTATAACAAAAGTGTTTCAGTTTTAATATTGCTGCATTCCAGAGGTAGGTTCCACTGTGCTTGATAAAAATGGAGGAATTTAATAGTTTTATGGGTTTAGGATTTTACCAGCTCATCTGGGTATTTGTTTCTTTTCCCCAGTGAAACGTCCCCAGTGTTGCCCTTCTCTGCCCAAAGCCAGGCATGTATCTAAAACTAAGTGCAAGAATGTAGGAAAACCAACCCAAACAGATACAGCCAGATTCATAACAAATCCATAGAAAGTGAGGCAGGAAGTACCACTTGTAAATGCTGCTGCCTGCTGTCTAAAGACCAGAGCCACTTCTTTTTCTGGACTGTAAAGCATTCAATATTCAATTCTCACAGAAGAGATGAGAACATAATAGTGCTCTATTCTGTCAACATCAGTGGGAAGGAATGTAAGTGATATACACCAAAGTGGAACTGCACTGACTGCCAACAGGACTACATAGTCAGATTACTTGTAAGTAGAAGCTGTACTTCCTCAATGGAAGACAACTTCAAAATTTCTTTTTAATGAAATCTGCATATAGTGTACTTGTATCTTCAGTTGTACAACAGTCACCAAATGACTCTGAAAATACACAGTAGGTGTCCAGACTGGCGGAAAACCTAAACTATAAGCAACCTCCTCAGTGACATCTAATCATCAGTAAGAAAAACTTCCTAAAGAGCAAGGCAAACACATTTGCATGGTCAGCTATCAGGAGGGGTGTAATTCCTACCAGTGATGGGGACTCTGTAGTCACTCAGATTTTCAGTGTAGACTGACAATTATTAGAATAGCTAAATAAAAGGTGGGCTTGGATCAGTCCTCTTTTTGAAGGGCGATGATGGGATTGTAATCTATCAGAGGATCCAGGCTTTGCCAACAAAGCAGCTGCAAAGAAGGGGGAGGGAGGAGGCGCAACAGCAAAGCAGAGGCAGTGTGGGACCTGGAAGCAACTGAATGGCTTTGGTCACTGCTGAGAGAATTTGAGCCTAAGGAGGATTTGTGCCAGGACAGTGTACTAAAAATAGCCAGCCTTTTTACAGAGATACAAGGAAATTTAGGGAAAAGGCTGAAGTTTCTGAAAAAAAATTCTCTATCTTTTAAACATACTCATGCTTTTCTATTAACACTGAACTGTTCCTTTAAAAAATAAAGCTACTTTTATGAGTTTCCAAAGCATGACACTTCATTTTATCCTTTGGTCTTTCTCTGCATTTACATAAATGTCAATGTTGGCCCATTCCCAGGCATACCCCGTGTGAGTCTCAGGAATCTCTTCAGGTGGAAACTGAAAATTTCATTATTTTATATTTAAAATGAAGTAGGTCTTCAGTGCCCTCTATTCATATTGGTTATTGAGTAAACATATGACTTAGTTCATTTTGATTCAGATTTATTTAGCCTAAAACTACATTTACTATCTGGGATGACAAGTTGTGCCAGCAGTCCCAGTTACTCAGGAGGCTAAGGCAGGAGGGTCTCTTCAGCATGAGTTTGGGATCAGCCTGAGCAACACAGGAAAATCCCTACTGCAAAACCAAACCAAACCAAATTTCATTCACTAGAAGCTAAAAAATTTAGTATCTTAAAACTTGAAGATTGATTTTTAATTATGTGTGTGTTTAGGGACGGGGTGTATGCGCAAGCCTACAGTTCCCTGCAATGGCCAGAAGGAGGTATTAGACCCCCTGGAGCTGGAGTTAAGTTGGTTGTGAGCCACTGGACATGGGAGCTTAGAACTGAATTTGGGTCCTTTGTAAGGATAGTATGCACTCTTAACCACCAGCTGGCTCTCTAACGCTTAATTCATTTTTCTTTCTTTTTCTTTTTAAAGATTTGTTTTTAAGCTGGGTGTGGTGGCACATGCCTTTAATCTCAGAACTCAGAAAGCAGAGGCAGGTGGATATGTGAGGTCCAGGCCAGCCTGGTCTACATAGCAAGTTTCGGACCAGCTGGGACTACAAGGAGACCCTCTCTCTCAAAAATAAAGCCTAAAGAAACTAAAGATTTTAAAATTATTATTTTAAAGTTATGCGTGTATATGTGTCCATGTGTAGGTATGTGTGCTTTTGAGTTCAAGTGCCTGCAGAGTCCAGTAGAAGGTATCAGATCCTCTGGATCTGGAGTTACAGGTGGTTGTGAGCTGCCTGACATATGGGTGCTTGGAACTGAACTTGGGTCCTCTGTAAGAGCAGTATGCACTCTTAACTGCTGAGCCATCTGTCCAGCACCCCTGAATTCATTTTAATTCAAACTTTTGTTTGTTTTGTTTTTGAGATGTGTGCAATCATGCCCAGCTCAAACATTAAAAAAGTAATAACTTGGACTGGAAAGATGGCTCAGCAGTTAAGAGCACTGACTGTTCTTGCAGATGACCTGGGTTTAATTCCCAGCACCCACATGGAGGCTAACAACTGTCTATAACTCCAGTTCCAGGGAATCCAACGCTCTCTTCTGATTCCACAGACATTGCACAACACAGGTACACTTACATTCAGGCAATATATTCATACACTTAAAAATAATAAATAAAATATTTCCTTTTTAAAAATTTTTTTATTTTTACTTTTTTTTATGTGTATGAGTGTATTGCCTGCATGTATTTGAGTGCACCTGTGTCATGCAATGCCGCGGAGGTCAGAAGAGGGTTTCGGATTCCCCTGGAACTGGAGTTAAAGATGGTTCACAGGGTGCTAAATAAAATATTTTTTTAAAGTAATAACTGGGGCTGGAGAGATGGCTCAGTGGTTAAGAGCACTGACTGCTCTTGCAGAGGACCCAGGTTTGATTTCCAGCACCCACATGGCGGCTACGAACCGTCCTTGACTCCAGTTCCAGGGGAATCCGAAGCCCTCTTCTGACCTCCGCTGCACTGCATGTCATGGGTGCACTCACATACATGCAGGCAATACACTCATATATAAAATAATAAATATTTAAAAAAGTATTAATCACAGTTCAAGTAAGACGCATAACCAGGACTCTAAAGGGTTCTTTTTCTTTCCTTTTAATTCTGTGTGTGTGTGTGTGTGTGTGTAAGTCACTTTCCCAGATTTATGTAACAAAGCCTTTTTTTCCAGATCTTACTGACAGTCATTTTAGTGGCCTAGTAGAAGAAAATACATTGCTGATAAGTCCAAGCTTGCTACACCTCACAGACTTAAGAGTCGACCTTAGTTTTTGGGTTCAGAGGATTGAGTAATAATCTCTGAGATAACTGTGGAGACTGTATGCTAGTTGAAGATTTGTTAAAGTTTTAGAATCTGGTGAAATAATCATATTCCTGTGAAAGCTCTGCAAGTTATACTCATTAGCCCAAATGTTTTAACATAGCCTGACACTACTTACTTATTTGTGTATAGCAGTGGCTGTCAGCACAGAGCTGGTACCCAATGCTAGCAAAATTTATAGTGACAGGAGAATAGGGCCTAGAGCAGCAGCTGGAGCAAGACTTTCTGCACTCACTTTCCCCTTAGGTGCTCCAATACCCCATTACTCCAAGTTTGGCCCAAGAACTACAGCATCAGCATTACCTGGGAAGTTGTTAGAAATGTAGAACCTCAGACCCACTCCAGCCTACTGAATCAGAACCTGCAGTTTAATGAGATCCTCAGGTGATTCCTGCTCACATCAGAGTCTGAGGAGTGCGTTTCTAAAGAACAAGTACATAAAGAAGGGTTCGCAGTGTTCTGGAGTGTCTCGGCCCTCTGGTTCTCCGTTTCAGTCTCTAGGACAGTATGTTTTTTGGAAATGGGATTTATGCATACTGGTATTTTCTTTTTCCAAGAGTGTAAATAGAGATTAAAGTTGCATATTCTGGATTCAGTTTTACCAGGGCCCAAATCCTAGCTCTGTCACTGTACCTCATTTCTCCACTGGTAGTATGTAGCTATGGTAAGCAAAGGTATACTATACCCCATCACCCCTCTGCTCTGTACTGATCACAGCTGAGCTCTCAGAACGATGGTGTGTATATGTTTTTGTCATCAGTGTATTCAATTCATATTGTGGGAGTCTTTGCTGAAACACTAGTTGCTAAAAAGTAGGTTAGGTTTAGAAATTTTGCCATTTTATCTAGTAATATTTTTAATAATGGATTGTCTGAAATATTTTTGCTTTACTTATTTAAGAGTAATGGAACTCTAAATTATAACCTACTGGGCTGGAGAGGCAACTCAGTTGGTAGAGTGCCTGTGTAATGCGTATGGAACCCTGGGTTAGATTCCTAGTACTACATAAACTGAGTGTGGCAGTACCCACTTGTAATTCCAGCACTTGGGAGGTGGCGGCAAGAAGATCAGAAGTTCAAGATCATCCTTGGCTATGTAGGGAGTTCAGGGCCAACTTGGGATACATGAGATCCTGTCTTAAAAAAGGAAAAAATTACAGCCTAAGCAAGAGTAGGAAAATTTTACTGGCAGGACTTAGAGACGAGTGTTCTGACCTTGTTTCTATAGGGGGCAGCTGGCATTCTCTGCTATGTGGGAGCCTATGTCTTCATCACTTATGACGACTATGACCACTTCTTTGAAGACGTATATACACTCATCCCTGCTGTGGTGATCATAGCAGTAGGAGCCTTGCTTTTCATTATTGGGCTAATTGGCTGCTGTGCTACAATCCGGGAAAGTCGATGTGGACTTGCCACGGTAAGTTAACACTTCACTGACCATGAGTGTAGTCAGAGTGGGGAAAATTTCATCTGTTACTCTTTCTTGAATTGAGCATGAAGCTCTGAAAATTTAGGTGCCTTGGCTTTTATAATTGTAACAGAATTAGTATATTCCTTAAACTTCTAGAGCTTATCCCTGATAATAGCTTTTTATCAAGAGAATATTTAAAGGGGCTGGAGAGATGACTCAGCAGTTAAGAACACTTGCTGTTCTTCCAGAGGACCCAGGTTCAATTCCCAGCACCCACATGGTGGCTAACAATTGTCTGTAATTCCAGTTCCAGGGGATCCAATATCCTCTTCTGGCCTCTGTAGGGCATTGCACCTACATACATACATGCAGGCACAACACCCATACACATAAAAAATGATGATGATGATGATGAATACAATTTTTGAAAATAGAGACTATTTAGAGCTGTTTCTTCATCTCTTTTTTTTTTTTTGACAATGTTTCCTTAACAGTTTGTCATCATCCTGCTCTTGGTTTTTGTCACAGAAGTTGTGGTGGTGGTTTTGGGATACGTGTATCGAGCAAAGGTATGTTGTCTCCTGTGATTCCTGTAATATTTTGAAAGATTTCAGGTTTTCTTTTGTTTTTCTTCTTCTTCTTTTTTTTTTTTTTTGTGTGTGTGTGTGTGTGTGTGCGTGAGAGAGAGAGAGACAGGGTCTTGCTATAGCACTAGCTGGCCTGGAACTCACTGTGTAGACCAGGCTGGCCTCTAACTCATGGAGATCCACCTACCTCTACCTCCTGAGTGCTGGATTAAAGGCATGCATCGCCAGGCCCTGCTTGTTTTGTCTTTTTTACCTATAGTATCATTTAAGGTTAAGCAGACAACTTGAAATTAATTTGGTTTAATTTTAGAGCCATGATAAAAGATAGCATAGACTCATTCCCAGTATAATTTACAGTTTTAAGTCAAAAGCAGACTATACCAAGGTGATGATCAAACCACTGAGACAGAAAGATGCTGTACAGTTGTGCTCCCATTCCCCAAAGAGTGGTGGATGAATGGACATCAGCTTTAGGTCTCATTCATCACTGCTTGCTAAGTACATTCAATCAATGCAGAGAGAGACAAGGGGAATCTGATGCAAGCAAACTTTCTTAAATGATTCTTTTTTTTAACCTGCTGGGTTTTTTTTTTGATTTTGGCTTTGGTTTTTAAGATTTTCTTGGCCAAGTCTATACACTGAATAAGAAAAATAGAAATAGTAATTTGTCCTAAAATATCTTACAGAAGTTCTCAAGTTTTTACCTCCTTTAGGAAAGGAAAAGCGAGGTCTGAGAATACTGAAAACTTACGTGGTAACTGAAGACACCCAGATGCGGGGCATCTGCCCTAGTGTCTGTAGCTTTCCCCTCTTGAATGGATTGTTAGCCTTTATTTTACATACAGTATTCTCTTTGAATGCTTGAGATTTAGTAGATCAATTTGCAAACATGCTCTTTAGGAATTTTGGTTGAAACCTTGAATTAATGTTACTTTGAGTAGTATTTTTGAGGGATAGAATTCTTTATATTGATTCAGGTGGAGAATGAGGTTGACCGAAGCATTCAGAAAGTTTATAAGACCTACAACGGAACCAACCCTGATGCTGCTAGCCGTGCTATTGATTATGTACAGAGACAGGTAAGCCTTCTTGAGGGCTATTCCCTATTAGATCAACATTAAACTAGGTCTATTATGCCTGTGGAAATTGGTCATCTACTTTCTCAGCTATAACAAAATGTCAGATATCGTAATAGATTTTGTTCCTATAACGCCGCTTTAAATTTTTGCTTTATTTTCTTAAAGCAAATCCCAGACATCTCAGACAAAACATTTTAAACACTTTGTCACTGGAAATAATATTTAACTCAGAATTAGATATATTAACTTATAAAATATAAAGATTTTGGTGGCAGGAGAGATGGCTTAGCAGTTATGAGTATATATTGCTCTTGCAGAGGATCTAAATGTGACTCTTAGCAGCTGTATTAGGCAGCTAACAGCCACCTGTAACTCCAGCTCCAGAAGGATCTGATACCTGGCCTCTGCAGGCACCTGCACTCACACATACCCACACACAGACACACAAAAATAAAAGTAATAATAATAAAAATATTTTTTAAAAGATGAAGATTTCCTTAGCAAGAAACTACCTCTTTCAAGCAGTATACTTAAAAAAAAATTATTAGTTTTTATTTTATGTGTAAGAGTATATTGCCTGCATGTATGTGAGTGCCCCCTTGTCATGCAGTGCCCATAGAGGTCATAAGAGGGCATCAGATTCCCCTGGCACTGGAGTTACAAGACAGTTGTTACCTGCCATGTGGGTGCTGGGAACTGAACCTGGGTCATCTGTAAGTGCAGCCAGTGCTCTTATTGCTGAACCATCTCTCCAGCCCTTCAAGCAGTATGCTTTTCATGTAGAGATCCTAGAGCTGATAGCTATGTGTGACTGTTTAAAATGAAATTGAAAATTCAGTTCTTCAGTTACACTAACCATATTTCAAGTGCTCAGTTCATCCTTATGTAGCTAGCGGTTACATGCTGAATTGTACAGAGACCTAGCATTTCCCTCATTGCTAAAAGTTTTGCTGAACATCACCAGTGAAAGCTCTGTAGTACATGAACCCTAAAGCTCAACATGGATACCTGCCTTTTCTGAGGAATTTCTCTCTTCTCATCTAGTTGCACTGTTGTGGAATTCATAACTATTCAGACTGGGAAAACACAGATTGGTTCAAAGAAACCAAAAACCAGAGTGTCCCTCTTAGCTGCTGCAGAGAGACTGCCAGAAGCTGTAACGGCAGCCTGGCCAACCCTTCCGACCTCTATGCCGAGGTGAGTCTTTTGGCCAAGACTGGAATCTAGCCTAAAAACTATTTTTGCTCTTATCACTATGTGGATTTCTTTTCAAACTTTTTTTGCTTGTCTTTAATGCCATTTTGTTTTATTAAAGTAATTTTGTAATGCGTTTTTTTTTTTGCTTTAATTACATATCCGTAAGTTTATATAAGATTATATAATCATATAATCTTTTTTTGTTCTTTTAGTTTCTTTCATTTCTATATCTGCCAGTGAGTAGTAATTTGTCTTTGCAGCTCTTTCACTTTTAAAAAAGACTCCTACTGAGATTGACTCTGTTTACAGGGGTGTGAGGCTCTGGTTGTGAAGAAACTACAAGAAATCATGATGCATGTTATCTGGGCCGCATTGGCCTTTGCAGCTATTCAGGTGAGCACAGCTAGCCCACTTAGAAGTGAGCCACCAGTTTCCCCATCTTGTCTCTGGGCCTAGACCCAAAATGGTTTAAAAAACAAATCTTTGTGGAGAGGGATTATGTGTGAGGAGAGGCCTTAAGAGCCCTTATTTTCTTGCCTTGATTAGTGAGTGAGCTGTTCAAAATACAAACAGACTGATGTTGCAGAGTATTCTTGGAAGATACTTTAATAGAGCTTTATAGAAGTTTTTAGAAATACTGTTATATTTCAGTTTGGAAATGGAAACATTCATTTCAGTCTTTTTGTATGCTATCTCACCTTCTAGTTCTTTTATTTTTTACTTAGAGAATTTATTTTTATTTTTTAATTTTTATTTATTTTTTTAACCTGTACTGGCACTCAAGCCCAGGAACCTGATTATGCCAGCTGAGCACTCTCCTACTCACCTACATGCCTCAAACCCTTAGTTTAAGTTTTAATTTTATTTATTTGTTTTGAGGTAGCAACTTGATAATGTGCCTAGGTCAGCCCCAAACTCCAGAACTCAAGTAGTCCTCCTCCCTCAGCCTTTTAGGTACCTCCTAGAACAGGTGCACATGCTGTGCCTGATTCCTTGAGGGTGTGTGTGTGTGTGTGTGTGTGTGAAGAACTTGAACTTGGGGCTGGAGAGATGGCTCATCGGTTAAGAACACTGTCTGTTCTTGCAGAAGACCCAGGTTCCAATCCCAGCACTTACATGGCAGCTAACAACTGTAACTCCAGTTCCAGGGGACCCGACAGCCTCTTCTGTCCTCTGCGGTCATTGCATGACACAGGTGCACTTACCTACATGCAGGCAATACACGCGTACACATAAAATAAAATAAAAAATAATAAAATATTAAGAACAAAAAAAAGAACATGAACTCTTATACTAGTCTCTTATTCTAAAAGGAGCAGTTGTATTGTTTACAGAAAAGACTTCCCAGTAAAAATTGAGGTTCTAGCCTCTTCTGTATTTGTGGACTTGTTTTTTTCAGACTCATGATCATGCAAAAGAAGCTCTCAGCATCAGTTGGCACATATGGACGTGTCCAGTACCATTGTTGGTAGCTAAGGGGACCTGTTTTCCCAACTCTACCTACTAGTGAAAGCAGTCTTTGTATTGCCATAGAATAGTTAGTGAAAGTGCCTCATTGTCTCTCTAAATTGGCATCCATCACCCCTTATCCTCCCAAACCATACAACCTTATCCCTCAGCCTCATATAAAAACAATTAAATTACATGGACAGGCGCTTTGCACCCAACATAGCCATCCACGTTCCTAGTTTCCCAAGTATATATAGTGTTATCTTACAGGTTCTTTTGGGGGGACATCTTAGAGTCTTACAATTGAGATTAGACAGCTATTGGAAAATCTTTCTATCAGATCTAGTTCTCAGAGTAATTTTTAAACTTTTATTTACTTTTTTTGTTTTTGTTTTTGAAACAAGGTCTCACTATGTAGTCCTAGCTGACCTGGAACTTAGACAAGGCTGGCCTCAAACTCAGAGATCACCTGCCTCTGTCTCATGATCCTGGGATTAAAGATATATGCCACCACATCTGTCTATTTTTATATTTTTAGTTCTTGAAATAGAATTCAGGTCTAGAGAATGTATTTTAAGAAAGTGTAGATATCTTTTCTTATATTAAAGCCAGCATAATCACTACTTTAAATGCAAGTTGTTGGTTTTCTGCTCTTTTTATATTTGAGCAGAAACTAGTGTATTTACTGGAAAGGGCCTTTAAAATGGCAAAAGAGAGATTGTTTCCTTTGCAAGTATTCAGACAGCCCTGAAGTGTGATTCACTAAGAAGCCTAGGTCCATATTTGTTGTGGTCTCTGCCCCCCTGAGCATTTACTTTGAGGCTCAACGTTACAGTGGTTTGTTGATCAGCATGGATGCATTCCATATTTTGATTGTGTATGCAGACACATTCATTTAACTGAAAATAATGAAATGAGAGAAGTCTTTTTCCCAAGTAGAAACCTGGTCTTTGCATTCTTAGTAATTTCATGTTGGATAATAAAGCTATATATACTAGGATGTAGCAGAAAAGCTTTGGAATTGCATAGTGTTTGTGCTCATGAAATATGTAGTGTGTAACTAAAAACTGATGCCAGGCAGTGCTCAGCCATGTTCTTCATATAGGCATGCCAGCCATGCATTTCTTCATTGAATATTTTTGCCAGTCTCAGGTATACCTGCCATATTTTTTAGACTTTAATCACCATGACTTAGGTAGTGATTTTTAAAGATCAGACTTTTTTTTTTTTTTTTTCAGTTTAGCAAAGCTAAGTCAGGGGTTCTGAATTCAAAACAGATTCAAAACCTAGTGATTTTGAAAATGAAAAACTTTAGGGCTGGAGGGATAGCACAGCTGTTAAAGGCTAAGGCTAACAACCAAAAAATGGAAATGAAAAACTTTGGTTGTAAAGGAAATAAAAAAATAATTTTCCCTAATATATTTTCTTTAAGAGTACCTGTAAATTTTCTAAGATTTTTGTTAAAGTCTGTTGCAGATTGTTGACCTGGGTATGGAAAACCAGAGCAAAGAAATAACTCAAATAACAGGATCTTGATATAGAAGTTTAGAGCTAGAAAAGAATGCTAGAGATTCTCCAGCCCTTTTCCTCTTTGTTCTGCCACAAAAATCGAAAAGAACAAGGATAATAATGGCTTAGACCATCGCACAGACAGTAGAATGCTAAAGTCTGAATTCTGACTCCATTTGTAATCTTGTATCAGTTACAAATATAAGCATTAGGATTCTCGTATCAAATTTCTGAATTCTGGTTTGAACCCTGACTAATTGGCACTCTAGCTGGGCAGAATACAGAAATGAAAGGCAGAGTTGAGTGGTTACAACAGAGAACAGATTTGTCTCTTGGTTTGAAAAATCAAATATATTTACTGCATGGCCTTTTAAGAAAACCTTTTGCTTACTGGGTATGGTGGCTCATGCCTTTAGTACCAGCAGAGGCAGGTGGATCTTTGTGAGTTCAAGGCCAGCCTGGTCTACATAGTAAGTTACAGGCCAGCTGGGGCTACAGGGAGACCCTGTCTCAAAAAATACCAAAAAAAAAACAAAAAACAAAAAAAAAGAGTAGTTGAATAATCCAGATTTGAGTAGGACCAAAATGATCAAGAAAGACAAAAATCTGAGGACTCCTAGTTAATTATTATAACAGAATTTTTGAACATTAAACAGATGACATTTGTAAAAATTTGGGAGGTGTGTTTCAGTTTTTTGAGACAGGATCTCCCTGTAGCACTGTCTGACCTGGAACTCACTCTGTAGACCAGGCCTCAGTCTCATGGAGTTCTACCTACCTCTAGCTCCTGAGTACTGGGATTAAAGACACTGCCACACCTGGCTAAAATTTTTTCTTATGTATCTTGTTAGCTTATTAATCAGCAAGATGCTATGCATCTTTGTAAATAGATAGCCAGTTAAGAATTTTATATCTAAAGGTTTAATAATAGTATAAATCTAGGTATTGGTTTATTGAGCTCTTGAGTATCTTGCTGGGAGCAGGTAGCATGGGGAAGATGTGAGCAAGTCCTTAAGGTGGAAAGGTTGAGAGCGAAGTTCCAGAAGGACTGCTTCGCAAGGTGTACTGCTCTTCTCGTCTCTATGCAAGTGTGAAGAAGGTTATGGTGGCTCCTGTTTTCCTCTTTTCTTTTTGAGAAGGGGCTCACTATGTAGCTCCGGCTGGTGTGGACCTTGCTATGTACACCAGGCTGACCTCAAACCCAGAGATTGACCTTCCTCTGCCTCCTTTAGTGCTGGGATTAAGGGCATGTGTCACAATGCCAGCTTCCTCCTTTCTTGGCTACTATTTGTACATAAAATAAGTAAATTTCATGTCAGGTCAGATATCCCTGCATAGGTGTAAAGGTTATGTATTTTAATTCAGACCCTCTAAAATTTTTCAAATAGTTCCAAAGGGGAGGGCTGGAGATTTGGCTTAGTGGTTAAGAGCACTGGCTGCTTTTGCAGAGGACCTGAATTTGAGCCTCAGCACCCACATGGTGGCTAACAACTGTCTATAGCTCTAGTTCCAAGGGACTCCGACATCCTCTTCTGACCTCCATGGGCATTGCACAACATGGGTGTGCTTACACACATGCAGGCAATATACTCATGCATATAAAATAAAATATTTTTTAAAACTAACCAACAAACTAAAAAAATCAGATGTTAACTTCTGACCTCCACATGCACCAACATAAACGAACACCTGCTCATACACAAACAGACAAAACTTCAAGCTGGATATGATGGTGCACACCTGTAAACCCAACACTTAGGAGACTGATGCAGTAAGATTAGGAGTTCAAGGCCAGCTTGGTCAAAACTCTTTAAAAAAAAAAAAAATTGGGCACATCATTGCTCATATTTGTAGGGTTCCATTTGATAATTCAGTACATATATACATTGTGTAATGGTCAAGACAAAATACCATTTCTTGTTGAACTCTGTGTGTGTGTGTCTTCCAAATTCTTCTTGTCCTTTATAGTGAATAGTAAACTAGTGACCCCTGTACTGTAGAACACTAACACTTACTCCTCCTTTGTAGTTGTATTTTAGTATCTTTTGTCCAGCCTTCTATTCCTCTTTCCTCTGTCTACCCTACCCTCTAGTAATCACTATTCAGTTTGCTCCATGAGGTCAATTCTTGTAGTTTCTGCATCTGAGTAAGAACACATGATAATTTTTTTTATATTCCCCTTAATGTCCTCCATTTCTTGTCATTGTGTTGCAAATGGGAAGATTCTAAACTTTTTTTTAATGACTAAATAATATTCTATTTTGTGTATATATGACATTTGAGGAATGTCATTCTCAACTAATTTGGGAAGTCTTTTTATATCGAAAACACCTGTTGGAGGCCAGCAATATGGCTCAGTGGGTAAAGATGCCTGTCATCAAGCCGGAGGACCTGAGTTTGATCCCTGGAACCCACACAATGGAGAGAACTGACTCCCACAACATGTCCTGTAACTTCCATATGTACATGTCCCCCATCCCCAACATACCCATGTAAAATACATAAAAATATCTTTCTTAAAACAAGTACCTATTTGTATTTTTTTTTTTTTCCAAGTGATATAAATTTGGTCAAAGCTAAGTCTCCATCTCAGTCTTGGCTTTCCCTTGATTGTTCTCCTCACTTTGTACTTTGAGAGAGTCTCAGGCATACTCGGTCAACTCTATGGCTAGTCTTGAGCCTGCTTGGGGATCCCATTTCTACCTCCTGAGGCTGGAATTGCAAGTAGGTGCTAGTCCCTCCTGGGCTCTGGGGATCTGAGATTTAGTCTTGTTTATATGGCAAATGCTTTAACTGATGAGCCATCTCTGTAGTCCTTCAAGCCTTTTTTTTAGAACTTGCTATCAGTTTCCATGCTTCCTTCTAGAAGTAGTTTGTATAAGACAAGCATCTATGTAATTTTCGGTATGTAGACTCTTAGAGGAGGCAGCTTTGTACTGTGCTTTTTGTTTTGAGATTGTAGAGTCTGCTTTTCAGTAATTTGATAAGATCTTTTTTATGCTTTACCTACTTTTCTTCCGTGCTAACAGTGTGCAAAACTATAACATACCACAACCAGGATATTAGAATTGGCATTGGTAGCCTACTGATCTTACCCAGATTTCTCATTTCTTCATGTGCTTAGCTCTACACAGTCTTACGACCTGGGTAGATTTTTGTCCACCACAGTCAAGATACTGAGCAGTTTCGTTAGCATAGTGTTCTCTCCTGTCCCTCTTTACAACTTTCATCTTTAACCTGTACTCTAATAACTAATAATTGAGTTCCTATTTTAAAATTTTCTCATTTTATAATGTTGTATAAATAGAATGATATAGTTTCTGCCTTGTTTCTCAAGAACAGATTGATATGTTATAAGACTATCTTATTTCATGGCTGCATACTACCCACAGGTATACTTTGTTTTTTTTTTTAATATTTTATTATTTTTATGTGTATGAGTGTATTGCCTGCATGTATGTGAGTGCACCCGTGTTGTGCAGTGCTGTGGAGGTCAGTAGAGGGCCTCAGAGTCCCCTGGAACTGGAGTTAAGGACAGTTCGTAGCCACCACGTGGGTGCTAGGAATCAAACCCAGGTCCTCTACAAGATCAGTCAGTGCTCTTAACTGCTGAGCCATCTCTCCAGCCCCATGTTTTTTTGTTTTTTTAAGATAGGGTTTTCTTGTAGCCCCAGCTGGTCTGGAATTTGCTGTCTCACAAGAGATCCGCCTGCTGCTACCTCCTGAGTGCTGGGATTAAAGGCATGCACTACCATACCTGGATTTTCAATGGGTGTTTTTTTTTTTTAATTTAATTTAAAAAATTTTTTATTTTATATGTATGAGTGTATTGCCTGCATGTAGGTAAGTGCACCTGTGTTATACAGTGAATGCCCACGGAGGACAAAAGAGGCTGTCGGATCCCCTGGAACTGGAGTTATGGATAGTTAACTGCCATGTGGGTGCTGGGATTCGAACCCAGGTCTTCTGCAAGAACAGTGTTCTTAACTGCTGAGCCATCTATCCAGTCCCTCAATAGGTGTTTTTTTTTTGTTTTGTTTTTTTTTTAAAATACTTTACTTATGTTTATGTGTATGAGTGTATTGCTTACATGTAGGTAGGTGCACCGGTGTCTTGCAATGCCCACAGAGGTCAGAAGAGGCCTGACGAGGTTAGAAGGGGGAATTAGATCTCCTAGAGCTACAGTTACAGGCATTTGGTTGTAAGCTGCCTGATGTGTGTACTGAAAACTGAGCTCAGGTTCTCTACAAGAGCAAACACACTCTTAACTGCTAAGCCATTTCTCTAGCCCCACTTCAATTGATTTTAATAGGCACTTACCTAAGTCTTGCTGTCACAAAAATGCAAGTAGTGATTATTCAATGTTCTACATGTTCATAGTCTATTTATGGCAAAATATATGGCCATGAAACTGGAGTTTATATATGAATGAGTCTTGGTAGGTACTACCCAACTTTTCTCAGGATGTTTCTAGTATGAAAGAATTCTTAGTTTTAGCTGGGTATGGTGGCACACCATGTCTTTAATCCCAGCACTATGGAGGCAGATACAGGTGGATTGCTGCGAGATCAAGGCCCGTCTGGGATGGTCTACACAGCAAGTGAGACCCTGTTTCAAAAACAACAACAGCAACAAAGAGTTCTTAGTTTTGTGTGAGAATGCCTATTTCTCCCTGCCTCCCTCTACATAGGATATCAAAGAACATATTAGTTTGGCAGTCAGTTTTTAAAAATCACTTGTCTTATTATAGTAAGCATTTTTTTGTGTGTTTTTGTTTGTTCTTTACAAATTTTGTAGTTGTTGGTGTTGTTTGGCCTAGCTAGAGATTAATTCCCATGACTTGAATATTACGGGGAAAGTTTTCACTGTAAGAAATAATATTGAAGCTATAATATTCCTGTAATATTTCCAAGTCTGTTGTTGGAATTTTTCAGTAATCAATGAGATGTTAGTATAGCAGAGCATTCTAAATGGGTCTATAACACTTAATGGTGAGGATAAGAAGTTACTGGGTAGAGCTTAATTTTCTTAAATGGACACATTTCCAATTGGAGTAGGGTTTGCCATGCTTTTTAAATTGCTCTGAATCAGTACTAGTTGACTTAAGTGAAGAGGAAAGAAATGAGCCATACTTCAGACCTCATTTTGAGAGCACTGACTCCTCCAGTAGACATTAACCAGCTGAGAGGGGTGTGAGGAGGTGGGGTGCCAAGAGTTTTGTTTTTTTGTCCCCCTCTTAGCAAGTCAGTAATTTCTTGAATTTAGCATTTTTATTGCTCAATTTAACATTGCCTAGGAGCAGAAACGTATTTGATTTTATAGCTGTTATGTTTTGATGTGCAGTGAACAAATATATTTCTCTAGAAATTAGATACTAAACGCTTAGAATTAGCAAGGATATTTAGTAGACTTTCAACAGCATCTACTTTTAAAGCGTCTTGATGGTACTTTATACTAGTAGTCACTTGACAAATATTGATGTAATGAGACTGATGAATTTGAACAGCAGCTTCATGGCCTGAGTGGGTAGAATAGAGGCAGACGGTAGAATAGTTCTTTAATCTAGTTTAATCCTTTTGCTCAGTAACATAGCATGTCTCATTACTGGTCCAATACGCTACTCCAGAAGGGTTAGGAGTTAGTAAAAAATAAAATGATGAAATAAGAGTGGTCTTTAAGGCAGCCACACCTTTAATCCCAGTACTTGGGAGACAGAGGCAGGCAGATCTCTGTGAGTTTGAGGCTAGCCAGGGCTACATAGTGAGAGCCAGTCTCAAAAAAAAAACAAAACAAAGAAGTGATCCATAACAAGTAATATATATGTAATGCCACAGAACCAAAAGTAGTAAATAAGAAAGAAATGGAAGCTTCAGAGTTCGTTTTTTGGCACTGAATTTTGTAGTTGTTGGTAAAGTATCTCTCCCCATAATCCAGACATCTAAAAGGACCACCATAAAGTACGTGTTGCTTTGACGTATTCTCTAGACTTGTGCTGTCCAGTATGGAAGCCACAGCTGTTTGTCTAATTGAAGTAAAAGCTTAATGTGACTCCCCAGTGGCTAGGCTACATTTCAAGTGTTCAGTAGCCACATATGCAGAGACAGACCATTTCCATCACCACAGAAAGTCTTTTGGGGCTCTTATTGTTACTGGGGATGGCAATAAAAGAGCCTTGATTTCTGTCAGCTTCAGAGAAGTTCCTGATGTAAGGCAAGGAAGCTGATGTTTAGTACTTAATTCCTTAATAATGTGTTCAGAAGCACTTCCCTCTCCCACTGTCACTGCTTTTTTGATGATTTGAAGACATTGAAACTTGAAATAGCTTCATTGCTAATAAACAAAAAGGGCTTTCAGCCTTTTTCTCATTGTTGTTTTTTCCTACAGCTGCTGGGCATGCTGTGTGCGTGCATCGTTTTGTGCAGAAGGAGTAGAGATCCTGCGTATGAGCTCCTCATCACTGGCGGAACCTACGCATAGTAGACGGCTTCAGCCTGAGCTAATTTTTAGTCTTGTTCTGATTTGGAAGATGAATTAAGCAGGCCTGCTGCAGTTGGCCTCCTGGGTTCATCTAGTTAAAGCACACATACATTGGTGTTGGACAGAGCAGCTTGGCTTTTCATGTACCCACCCATTTACCTACCCACCATGACTTTTTCCCTTATTCTAGCTGACTCTCCATGCCCCTGATTTCAGAACCATTTACAAGTTGCATAGACTTAAAGGAGGATGTGGGTCTGCTTCTGTTGCCTCCAAGGAATAATGGGACAGTGTCGTATCACCGGGTCATTTCAGTCTTCACAATGGAGAACTCTTGGCCAAAGGTTTTCGGGGGGAGAGGGAGGAAGCCAACTGTCTGGTTAAAATTAACACCAGATGGTGCCCCTCATCAGTGTCCTTTTAAAGAATATATACTGTAGTACAATAACATAGCAGTTGTACAAAATGGCTAACATAGTTTAGAAACATAACAGTGTGTGTTTTTGTTCATCTTCAAAATCAGGCTGATCTTTGAAACTAGTGGTTTTTAATCAAAGCTGGCTTTATAGGAGGAGTATAATGGATGCACTACTGTTTTAAAGCAATTAGTGTGAGTGCGTGAGTGTTTCTGTGTGATTGAGCCCATTCATCATAAGTCTTAAACTTGTTAGAGATAATGTACCCATGTAGACTAGCAAAATAGTATGTAGATGTGATCTCAGTTGTAAATAGAAAAATTTAATTCAATAAACTCTGTATCAGCCCTCAACATGTACTTTTTAATTATTTGGGGGATATTTCAGTTCCAGAGCAGCAGTATAATGATTCAGATGCTGGTGTTGTCTGCAGTTCTTCCTGATTTGCATGGATTTTCATTATATGCTGCCAAATTCTAATGGCCATGATATTCAGAAAACTATAGATGCTTTCTAGCTTCAGTGAATTTTTTTTTGTTTTGTTTTGTTTTTTTGGTCTTTTTGAGATAAGGTCTCCCTGTAACCCCAGCTGGCCTGGAACTCACTATGTAGACCAGGCTGGCCTTGAACTCACAGAGGCATATACAGAAAGATTTCCATACAGCGCAGTGAGAGATCAAGGGCATCGTGTTGTGCTGGGGGGTTTAGTGATGACACTTGGGAGCTCCTGGAGGAAGTGTCCAAGCCTAGAAACTGGAGAGGTGTGTGGGGAAGAAACTCGGTGTGCAGTGGGATTGGTAGAGGACTGCTGTAAGTAGCTCATAGTGCCTAGGGCTTAAAACAGTATTCTCTGTGGTCTTATGGGACTTGCTCTACCGGTCAGACTTGATTTGTAGGCAGAGAAAGCTATTAAAGGGCTTAAGCATAATGCTGATGTCAGCAGGCCTGCTCTGAATGGTCCCCAAGGCAGTTGAGAGGATGGTTTGGCATATGATGAGGAATGTGATGAGGCTTCAGTTAGGATTAGGTAGCAGGGCATGAAGTAGGGCACTGTTGGTATAGGCAATGTATGGGGTGGACTCAGGGACTCTTGGAAGGAGGAAATGGCAGAATTTATACCGATTGGATGTGGGATAGAGAATGGAGAAGAAGGGAGGAATTGAAAATGAATCTCAGATGTCTGGCTCAGTCAACTGGGGGAAACAAAGCCAGACACAGAAATAGAGAACAAATAAAGCTGAGTTCGTTGTCTTGTAAGTCCCTCCGAATATGGAGAACACAGGCAAAGATGAGGCATAAGAACTAACTACAGAAGTAAAGGAAGCTTTCCTGATTGCAGTTCCCAGGATCAGTGATGTTGTTCCTGACCCATTCTCCTCCTCCCTGCCTGTTCACAGTGGGCAAGGATGCTTGTGAGCTTTGACCACCACCACCTCCCCCAGCACAGTCTCCCCTGCTGTTGATAGGACCATTCTGTGACTACCCTGTCACTGCTTGGAGCTGAGGTGAGCAGTGGTGGTGTGTGACATTGATTGCCCTTTTTCTGGGCATGATCAGGCTAGCTCTAGAGTAGGAAATTGCTTTCATATCGTGTGTCAGTTGGTAACCCACTCCTTGAACTTGCTTGAAGGGCAAGTCCCATACCCTTCTTTGCTCACACTTCACTGCTTGCCTGTGAGAGAGCAGCCTGCGAGGAACCTAGACATTCAGCTTCTCCCAAGGCTGAGAAGTGGCTGCCACCGAGTTGCAGAAGACACTCCTTCTCCCCCGTGGATAGTGCTGCTGGACCCATGCAAGAAGACAACAGAAAGTCCTTCCCCTCCAGCCCAGGCAGCCCCTTGAGAGTCTGCAGAGTCCAGGTCAGTGTGGAAAGAAGAGGAGTGTGTGGAGCTTTGAGGCAATAAATACCAGTGCATCTGCTCAAGATGTCTACTTTCTCCAAGGTGTAGGTCCTGTTTTGTTCCTTCCAACCAAAAGTCTTAGTCTCTGGAGATGTAACTGTAAGGTGATAGAAATATTCTGCTTCTCATTTAACTCCTCCCCAGGTTTAACAAATAGTGATGACTCTAGCTGGATTCAGACTTAACTAAGGATGTTTTTCCAATCCAGAAGTCCCTCATCTTCCAGGCAGTCCTCCCCTCTCTGTCATTTATTTTTTAATATCCTCTATAGGACCCACGAGTTCCCACTTTTTTCAGCAGTTAATTGTCTTTTTGAAGGCAGAGCTTCCTCAAACACTTAGGGATTTGGCCAGTGGGCACCACTTCAAGTGTTCCCGACATTGGAGAACTTCTGTGACTTCTGACATGAGCTTGCTGATCCATCTCATCCCCTCTCGTGTGGCCACCAAATCAGTGCTGGCTAAGGAGCCCTGGTCCCTGGTGCTGCTGCCAAGCTGATAGAGCTTTAGTCAACACTTTAAAAAAAATTTTAAGAAATATTCTATTATTTTTATTTTATGTGTATGAGTGTATTGCCTGCATGTATGTAAGTGTTCCTGTGTTGTGCAATGCCACGGAGGTCAGAAGAGATTGTTGGATCCCTTGGAACTGGAGTTATGGATGGTTGTTGACTGCCATGTAGGTGCTGGGAATCAAACCCAGGTCCTCTGCAAGAGCAGCCAGTGCTCTCAACCACTGAGCCATCTCTCCAGCCCCAATAACTTTTTTAAAAGCATTTTAAACAAAAGTTATTGGTGCCTTTAAAAATGTAATAATATGGTCATGTGTAAAGAAGAAAGCGCCCCAGGCTAGCAAATCTAGAAGAGATCTGCATTCTTTCAGAAGACATCCTTAGAAATGGGTGTGGTAGTGGGTTTTGGTTTGGACTTGTTCTTAATGTGAATTTTGATCTACAGCATGATCCTATTCTCTTCAGGACATAACAGTACTCTTTCTTGGTCAGCCTAGATTTGTTAATTCTTTGTGTTAGCTTCATGAATGTGTTAATGCATAGTTAACCAGTGGACAATGGACAGATAGCTTCCAGATTTTTTGTTCTCCACACACAGTCCTGCATTGCTTCTCAACAGAGTATGTTCTGAGGAACATGTTATTCTGAGAGACACATTAGTTAATTCACTGTGCAAACATCTACAGTGCTTGTACAGATATATACAGATAAGCCACTCAACTTGTGAATCTGCTACTGATATAACATGGGAGACAGGGTCTGACTGTGAATTCACTAAGAGGCCCATACTGGCCTTGAACGTGCAGTGATCCTCCCCCATCTCAGCCTCCCTGAGTGCTGGGATTACAGGCATGTACCACTAAACCTAGCCACTTTTTTTTAAAAAAGATAAATCAAAGAATTGTTAATTAAAAGTAATGATAAAGGTCAAGCTTAGAAACAGGCCTGTAATCCAGCTACTTTGGAGTCTGGGGTAGGAAGATTGCAAGTACAAGGCCTGCCTGGACTACAAAGTGAGTTGAGGGCTAGCCTAGGCAACTTAGTGAGATCCTATCTCAAAAAGTAAAAAGAGGCTTAAGGAACTGGAGAGATGGCTCAGCTGCCTGTAATTCCAGCTCCAGGGATCTGCTATCCTTTTCTGCCCTTTGTGGGTACCTATGCACATAGTATACATATAGACACAGATATACACACATAAATAAAAAGTAATTCTTAAGGGCCAGAATAATGACTCAGTGAGTGAGAGTGCATGCTGCTCTTAGAGTTCCTAGCACCCACACTGGCCAGCTTAGGACTGCTTTAACTCCAGCTCCTGAGGATCCGAAGCCCTCTGGCCTCTGTGAGCACCTGAGTCATGTTCACATAAATAAAAATAAGTCTTAAACCATTTCTTTCTTTTTATTTTAAAAAGAGGGCTTGGGGTATGGTAGAACAGTGGTAGAGCACTTGTCTAGCATGCACAAAGCCCTGCATGCAGTCCCCAGTATCACACAAAAATAGTAGTGATAAAAGATTGCAGTGTAGTAAGTACCTAAGCTGGTAACTGATTCTATCGACTCGTACGTACTGTGCACAGTTGTGTTGGTAGTGCAACCCCAGCATCATCATTAACATGGAATAAGGCATTGTGCTAGTGTTAGGAAAGCCATGATGTCACTAGATGGCGGGCATTTTTCAGCTCCTTGTAATCCTGAGGGACCACCTTTGCATGTGTGATCTGTTGCTGGTGTAAACAGATGTGGTGCTGACTACCAGCCATAGTCACAGGGCCTAAAACCATTTTAAAGTAAGCATTGTGAGTGGCATGGTCAGTGCTCTACTGCCACCACTTTCCTAGTTTTAAAGCAGTTTTCATTACCCCGTGTCATGCATTTTTTGCATGTTTTCAAGGGTAGATTTTAGTCATCCATTCTGTACCAAAAACACCACATTTGGAAGTTTTCATAGATGTGTCCAATTCCTTTCAAAAAGAGATGATCCCAATATATGTTCCCACTAGCAGTGCAAGAAAGCATGCATTCCCTGCACCCTTGTTGACTCTCAGGATGTGGTCAGCCTTTTTCCATTCTGCCAGATGAAAATATGTATTTATTTTGTCCCATGATCTTTTTTTATTAATATTTTATTTTATGTGTATGCGTATATTGCCGGCATGTAGGTAAGTGCATCCATGTCGTGCAATGCCCATGGAGGACAGAAGAGTCGGATCCCCTAGAACTGGAGTTATGGACAGTTGTTAGCTGCCATGTGGGTGCTGGGATTCAAACCTGGGTCTTCTGCAAGGACAGTCAGTGTTCTTAACAGCTGAGCCATCTCTCTAGCCCCTTGCCCCATGATCTTTAAAAAAGTAGTTAAGCTACTTATATCTCCTAAATTTTCAATTTCTGTCCTTTGCCCTATTGGATAGGTTATTGTCTTATTTCTTACAGAGCTTAACAGAATTTAGAACACTTTTCTGTAGAACTTAAACTTTTCTTTTGTTGCTAGTGGGAGTGGGGTAACTTTGTAAATCCCTGTCCTAAGGAGCTGTTGCTATGGAGGATCACCTACTCTTAATGTGTTGATTCTGTATTCAGCATTCTTGGCAGTTCTGGAAATAATTTATGTTCTCTGTAGCTTTTTGTTGTAATGTCTCTGGGGTCTTCTGAGGGTATCATGCTGTGACCCATTGACTTTTAGTCAGAACTAGGGGTGTTGCTAGCTGTGGGGAATGTGACTCCTGCACAGATCCTGCTCTCCTAAACTTATATAGTAAAGACAGTAAAGCAGGTGTGACATAATGGAGAAGAGAGACTTGTTTATATTAATATTTGCATCCCAGCATCTGGCACATAGTAGACACTTATGGCCTGACGTAAGTCACTATGGTGCCTCAAGAGTAGTTTTCAAACTGCCAATAAGAAATGTAGGTGAAGGGCTCATTAGCCAGAAGGTTCTCAGTCCTGGCTATACATCAGAATCATCAGAACAGTAGAAATCTGCACAGATTGAGCTACTTTCTGTTTGAGGTGAAAGCTCATTGGTGGCTCCCTGAGCAGCCTGTGCCAAGCTGTGCTGCCCATCCATAAACCTGTAATTGAGCTGAAGATGGGCTGGGGCCTCTCCTCCCTTGGCCTCTCAGTGGGCTCTGCTGAGTGCAGTTGGAAAGACCTATTCTGGGATCCTGATTGCCTGTGAGGATGCTGAGGGCAGTGAGTCCTCTTGCATGTAAGTGGTGGTGAGCTGCTGATTATGCCAGATTGGGGGCAGACATTCTGATTCAGCCAGATGACTGGAATAGGTTGCATGCTGATCTCACTAGGCCCACGGGCAGCCATAGGAGAACAGTTGGAATTAGGTGCTAGACACCAGTGTTGGCAGATGTCTGGCCAAATGAGTTGTTTCTTGTCACCACTAAGGACTCTGGCAATCATAGTTGTCCCAGAGAGTATGTTGAGTGAGCTGCTGCTGCTTACAGTTGAGATCCAGAGGCTGTGGGCCTGGCTCTTACAGGTGACAACCTCTTGCTTTTAATTAGCATTTTAGCAATGACTATTTGAGGTAGCAATTTGCATAGAGCCTACTGCACCCATTTTACTAATGATGAAACTGAGCCCCAGAGAAATTGTGACTTGTCTGAGACTGCCCGAGGGGAAGCTGCTTCAGACCCTGGTGTTCTAACTTGAGAGGCCATGCTCTAAACCCGGCTCACTGTCTCTGAGCTGCCCTCTGTCAGGGAGCGGCAGCAGTTATTTATATGCTCAATTACGCCAACTCCCTCTTCTGGCACTGTGTCCCCATGCAGTTGTTTTCCAGCCACTGAAGTTGTGTGACCTGATGCACAAGAGAAATGGAGAAAGCTGCAGAGGCAGTGAATTAGATTCATCCAAGGGTTTATCACCATCACCCCCGGCCCCCGGTATAAATTGTGATCCCAGAGTTGCATTCTGTTCCTTTCTTTGGTTGCCTGAATGCCTGGAGAACAGGCTGTGTTATCTAATACTTATTACCCATCATCCAGTGGCGCCCACTGACAACTGCAGTACCTGTCAAAGATGATGATAAATATCTAGGCCAAAGGTTTAAAAAAAAAAATCTATGCAGTGGAATCAGATGTTCAATCAAGATGACAAGGTATTTTCAAGGAATAAATAAAGCACCGAAGCCTAACTTTCTACTCTTCTTTCCTCTTTGCCGCCCCAGAAGTCAGTCTACTTGCTTGTCCTGTCTCTCCTGGGCCCTCCTGCTCCACCTGCCCATCTTGAAGGCCCAGCTCAGAATTCACCCTCTCTACTATTCTCACCCGTCTCACATCTCATAAACTACTAGTCCATTCCATTTCCTACATTCACCCAGAGCTGTTCTCTAGCCTGGTTGCTACTTTGCAGACCAGCCACCATTTCTGTATGGGACAGCCTGCTGCTGGTCTCCCAGCCCCCCCCCCCCCACCTTGTGCCTGTTACTAATTACTAATTGCCTTGAACCTGTAGGACAGAGAGGCAGTGTGCCCCTCTGGGACAGTAAGCTCTGTCAGGGCATCTTGGCAAAGCACTACCCCATGACACCCAGGAGCCATCAGAATGTCTGGGCCCAATGAAGCCAGGGGATCTAGCTGTGCCTGGTGGGGCTGGACAGATGTGACCAGGGTAGTGTTCTGGCCCAGGCAGCCAAGTCTTTATTTGCTAGCTTTGTTCTCCTTCAGGAGAGCCCTGGATTAAGTCGCTGTCTCCAAGTATCCCTATCTGCAAATTTCTGATGTGTCACGGATGGGTGTGGTGTTTGGTGATCTCTTGCAGGATGTGTATTCTTGGGAAAATGATATTTGCAGAAGGGTGTCAGCCGCAGGCTTTTTTTCAGAGGCCCAAAGCCCTTTCCCACTGTCTGCCACACCCTCTGGCAAGAAACAGTGATAGATGACCCTCCCGAACATCGAGCCTCGTCCTTAGCTCCAGAGGCCACATCCCGGGGCTTTTCACCTGTCTGGCCCCAGTCCTGCAGGCCTACAAAGTGTTCCCATGCCCAAGATGGGTAGAGAATACAACCCAAAGGCACTTCATACCCTAACTAAACCTGCCTTTCTGCACAGGTGAGGAACATTGGAGAATGAAACCTGTATCTGTGTGAAACACAGCATAACCCCTTTCACCTCCTCAGCGCCTCTGCCTTTTCCTAGACCAATATCTGCCACATTTTTTGCCTCTGGCATCTGACATTTGCCTGGGCACATGGACTAGGCCTTTATGCTGGCTGCCAGGTGGGCAGCCAGCTAGGCAATACCAGTGAGGAAGCCACAGGCCCACAGTTGGTTTCTGTGATGCAGGATCAGTCCATATTGATGAGTGTGCCATATCAGGGAGGGGCACTGGGGCAGCAGTGGCTTCCCCTGGTAGATGGAGTTCCTGAGACCCATCAGCCTCTAAGCCGGTCTGCTCATGTGCTACCTTCACACTCACCTGTTGTTTCCTGTCCCCACCGGTTTGTCCCCCCAAATATTCCACCACCTTGCTGTACTCACACATTTGCCATGTCCTAACTCTACTTCCCATCTGCAACCCGGCTTACTTCCGTGCTCCCAGGATACCTGATACTGCTCCTCATCCTCTCTCTAACCTCACCCTGCATCTTCCAGACTATCCAAGATGTGACTACTGTAGCTTTGGCAGCCTTGGAGCTTCAAGAAACGGTCCAGACTTCATCTCTGTCTCTAGCTGAGTCTGAGACTCGGTGACCACAGCTGAAGGCTCGTCTGTAAGTGGCAGAGCACTGTTCTCCCAGACTTGTCCCCACACACTTTGGCTGCCAAATTGAGTGTTGGACACTGGGGCAAGAGAAAGGGACCCAGCAGAGAAGAATATACTCCTTTATTCCTTCTGGGAGAAACTCCTCAGGGAGCAGCCAGCACCTGTTCCATCCCCAGGAGGGCCAGGCTTGGTACTGACCCCACAAGGCCTGGGCAGTGGTGGGAACAGTCTTGGCTGCACAGGCAGGACAGGCCTGTGTGGGGACGGCCGCTCCTTCCTCAGAGCTTCTCCAGGTAGGATCCAGGGACGAAGCCACGCTGTCCATTCTGTTCCACTGTCCACCAGCCATCCTCCCCTTCCTGGATGACCACCAGGACATCTCCCGCAGAAATGTCCAGCTCATCGGAATTCTGGGCAAGAGATGGCAAGTGCATGAGTTGGGAGGGGCCTCTTGGGTGGGCTATGGCCCAACATCCCCACCCTGGCAATCAATGCATGATTGTCTCCCAAAGTGAGCAGTGGCTAAGTTGTGCTCATGCCTTCAGGGTAGCCCCCTTTGGAGACAGACAGGCATTTCGGTTCCTTAAAGGACTTGTCCTCCAGTCTCCATCAGGTTGTCATGGAGACCTCCTAGCCTAGGTTTCTCTCACTGCTCCAACCACCACAGCATCTCTGAGGTACTTGCTACATCCAAGGGCAAGCTCTTCAAGGCTCACCACACAGCCAGGCACTCCATTACTTTAGGTCTGCGTCCCTCAATGTGGCCTCCATCGGTGCAGCCCACATCCAACCTGCTTACATGTGTGTGGAGATGTGATGGCCTCAGCCCAGGACCTGTCTTCCAGCTCTGCATCCCTCACTTTAAGCCAGGGTAGAGATAGAAATCGGGATCTCGGCAAGGCTGCTCTGTGGCCTGTTCTGATCCTTCCTCTGAGGATGTCTAGCATGGCTAAAGGATTCATTTTGGCCACAGTGGTTTTGAGTCCACAGCCAAAGAACGAGGCTTGGCCTTTAACTTGTTATCCACAGGCAGCCCCACGCTGGAGTACATGGCACCTGGCCTCGTGGACTCTAGGTATGCAGATTTGAGTTGATACTGGGCCAGCAGATGTGTATTCTCTTCTAAGGACAGGGTGCTATTCTAAGTGCTCATACTCTAGGCAGGTTCCCAGGCACATAAGCTCTGGAGCAGGAGGGTGAGGGCCTCACCTGTGCCGTGTAGTCGTAGAGCGCCCGGTAGTCCTGGGCTGGTGAGACAAGGTTGCCCTGTGTCCCTTGGACATTGATGGCTGCATAGACAAGCTCATTCGGCTCAGGAGTTGGGGCCAGAGTCTCTGTGGATGCTGAGAGTAGGGTGACACTTTGACCCTGCCCCTTTCTGAGGACAATAATCCTTCTAGGGTGGAGCTTCTCTAGGCTTGGCTCTTCATGCTCCCTGTAGTTTGACAGGGTACCTTTTCCCATTGAGGGTTTCCGTGGCTCCATCTATGCTATGTAGGAGTCCTCTCCTTCCTCAAAGGTTCCCCCACCTCCCCACCCTGCATTTACCAGCAGGAGCTTGATAGGATATGGTCTTGGGACTCCCATGCAGCAGCCCGGAGAACCTGGAGGCAGGGAGGAAAGAGGGGAGGCCCCCTCATCTGACCCCACTGGCAGTGAAGGGAGGTCAAGGGGGAATTCTCAGAGCTCCAGGACCCTTTGCCAGTCAGAGGCTACCCCAAGTCTCCATGACAGTAGGCCTCCCCAAAGAGCATCTCCAGCAGCATCCTCCCACACTGCACTCTATAGGTCATATCAGCACCTGCAGCCAGCAGGGCCCCTTCTCACCAAGCCTCCTCCTGCCTCCCTGCGGAGGAAGAAGCTGTCCTTTAAAGTTCAGCTCCCACACGCCCTGTCAGGCCTTCACCACCCTGGGCCAAGACAGCCCTCCTCCCCTTGGCTCCACTCATGGGGCACAGCACTAGGACTTTGACAACTGACCACAGTCCCTGCCAAAACCTCTCACAGATTCTCCAAGTGTTTGGGCGCCAGACCTTGTTTTTATGCCACCTGGAAAGAACCACCACTGCTGCCTTACAGTCCTGGACACCACCCTACCTCACAGTGGGATCACGGAGTCAAGAAGTCAGCCCAGGCATCTCCTCAGGGCTCTCAGGTCAGCTTGTAAATAACTGCAGTCTGATTAACACTTGGATCCCCTTGGCCTAAGGCCCCCTCTAAGGGTAGTGTGAGCTTGGCATATCTCTACAGAATGCCCAGCACCTGAATAGGGCATCAGACCTACAGGAGCTGTTTAGTAATGAGGAAAAGTCAAGGATAGGGGAGGCTGACCCCAGCCCCGGCAACCCATCCATTGATTTCTCACCTCTTTATCATGCCGCAGGATGGCTGGACACCAGGGCTTCCGGCCAATGGAGTGACCTCTCGGTCATAATAGTTCTGATAAGGCACCGGAGCTGCAGATAGCAAACCCATGAGGCCTGGAGCAAAGAGGGCAGGCCAGGCCACGCCTCTCTCCAGACTGGCCCTCATTTTCTCATTTTGGCCCTGGACTTGCCATTCTGGTACTCCCAAGAGAGATTTTTGAAAATGAGTGGATTTTTAAAATTTTTTTATTTTTTTGTCTTTTTGAGACAGGGTCTCCCTGTAGTCCCAGCTGACCTGAACTCACTATGTAGACCAGGCTGGCCTTGAACTCACAACAATCCGCCTGCTTCTGCCTCCCAAGTGCTGGGATTAAAGGCGTGTGCCACCACTCCTGGCTAAATGAGTGGATTTTTAAAAAACTTTTTGATCAAATCCACATGAGTGGATTTTTAAAATTATTTTTTGTTGTATGAGTGTTCTGCCTGCATGTATATAAAAAAGTGTATCTGTGTAGCGCAGTGCCTGCAGATGCCAGAAGATGGTGTCGGGTCCCCTTTGACTGGAGTTACAGATGGTTGTTAGCTGCCATGTGGGTGCTGGGAACTGAACCCTGGTTCTCTTCAAGAGCAGCCAGTGCTCTTAACTGCTGAGCCATCTCTCAAAATGGATATTTCTGGTTCATGACTGTGCAGCCAAACAGGCCAGGGGGTAGAAGTGTTCCTACTTCTAGTCCCCACCCTTGCCTCCTGCTTCACCTTCCAGCTCTGGTACACAAAACTATTCAAGGGAAGCAGGCCAAGGGCCCAGCCACTGGACTACACGCACCTCCCCCACCCATCCCCACCTCCACCCAGAAGGGAGCTGGAAGCCACCCCAGCCTGGGCCTGGCATTCCAGGCTGAGAACCCCGGGCCAGCTCTAGGCTGAGCTGCCCTCAGACCAGGCCTTACCTGGGGGCTCAGTGCCTGTGCTCTTGGCCTGAATGAAACCACTGATGTCACTGTCCACACTGCAACCTTCAAGGGTCAGCCGTACTTCCTCATAGAGCTGGGAGCAAACGAAGAACAAAGGCTGGATACCTGCCCTTGCCATAGTCCTGCCTCTCTCAATCTGAATCATAAGGCTCGGTGCTGACAGGAGGACCTTGGGGTGTCACTGCTCGGGCCTGGCTGAGGGGTTGGAGTCCTGCCTCATGCCTTTATCATCCACTCTGCCTACTCAGCAAAGGGGCAGTTTTCTGTGCTCTGAGAGCAGGGCCAGGGACTTTGAAGGAGAGGGCAGGTGCTAGGTAACCACAGAAGCACCAGCAGTGCACGTGCCCTGGGCGACACAACACTCCCCCTGCCACACAGTCTTTCCTGTGTTTGGAGGCCAAGGGCAGAGGCTGAGTCTGCAACTCCTCTGTGTGGACCGCAGAGGCCCGGGTATATGCCAACTGGCTCTAATGGACTTGAGCATGCTGTGCTGCCCTTTCTGCACCCCTCAGCACACACCTCATCATCCTTGACACACTGCATGGAGAGCTGGTTGCAGTGCACCCACAGGGCATTGCGGAGGATGGTCAGCCGGTCAAACTCCTGTAGCTGAAAGGCCTAAGGGTGGGAGGGAGAAGGGAAGGTATTGCAGGTCCAGGCCAAGCAGGTCCACTCATAGCTCAGCAGAGTGACCAGCAGGGCCATTCTGCTACAGTTAAGTCTGAAGCAAAGATGTCCCTGTAGGTCCTCACCCCTGCTCTGGGGCAGGTGGAGAGAGGTTAGGCTCTTAGGAAGGGGTGGATGTGAAAGGCATAGGACTCATCCTGGCTCTCCACCAGCAGAGCCCTGGATAGGTTTTGTCTGAGTCTCAGTTTGGGTCTTGTGAACAATGTATGTCCATAGCACAAAGCCAGACAGTGAGTACATTGGACAGACCCTAGCACCAGCCCAGCCAGTGACTGGAAGTAGAATGAATAAATGTCATCCCTCAGCCCCAGCCTCCCACAAATAGAATAGGGATGTATCTGGGGAAACAGGCTGCACACCTGGCTCACTCACCTCACAGGTGGTCCGGTGCTCCTGCTCCCATTCATTCCGAGCTTTCTCCAGCTGCTCAATGGTTTGCTTGTACACTCGCTCTGCAAGCACAGGGGACTCTCAGCCAGGCCTGGTGGCCTGGATCTCTCCTGATGGTTCCCAGACATGAGCTCCTCTGCCTGTGGTTCCTGCAGAGTCCCTCCAACATGACCTCCCTCAGGTCCTGGGATCTCCCTCCCCAGGGGGCCTGGCTGGCTGCCAGTCAACATCAGCCTCCCAATACAGCCCTTTCTAGGGAACTCTCATCTCCTCCACTGAGCTCTGAGGGCTGGAGTGGAACCTACACCCACAAGTTCAGTGCCCAAGTACTCACTTTCTGTGTCCCACCTCTTTACTGATGGTAGAGGGGCAAGTATTGTCTCCACATGTGGGAGAGCATGCCTGCAGGGCAAGTGGCATGCAGGTGACACTGCCACCAGGTAGAGGCTGTGTCCTCAGCTGAGCAAGGACTGGTCAGGCTGTCAGACACTCAGGAGAAGTAACTAAGGACACGTACCTGCCTCTGTGGCTGAGTCCTTGCACTGCTTGGCTTTGTTCTGGCTCTGAGGAGACAGAGTGGCACTGAGCCCCAGTTCAGGGGATCTGGCCCTGGAGCTAGTCAGAAGTGACTGACACACCCCCTGACCACCCAGGGATATCCATGAGCAAAACACGAGTGAATCCCACCATTCACCAGCAGCCTTGCTGCACAAGGGACCAGTCTGGTTCCATGTAAAGGAAATGAAAGCAGAAACCTGCAGCCGTGGGAGACACAAGATGCCAAGGCCAGCGGGAATGTGGCCAGGCCCTGCCTATGCAGCCATTGCTGCATCTACTGGCCAGAACTTGGGCTTTGCCCCAGCTCACCCACAAGCCTCTCGCCTCTCTGGGCCTGAGATTTCCTGTCTATGCAATGGATTAGGGGCCCGGGTAGCTCTGTCACCCCCACCCTGCCCAGATGCCAGTGCAACCATGAGCTTGGCCCTGGACTACCTAGATTTCGATCCCTGCTCTGCAGCCTTCTTGCTCTGAGACCTAGACTCACCATCCTGGGCCCATTTCCTGTCTGTGACATGGGCCTTGTTGACCCAGAGTTGTATGAGAATCAGCATCTACTCTCCTTGCCCCGTGAGTTCCGGGTCTGCACTGCAGAAGACCTGTTCCTTGGGTACTTCTGGCAGGTGGCAGAGGGAAGTGGGGTGACCCTATGCTCTGAGGTCGAGGGGCACCCATTGCACAAATGCAGACAGTCAGGAAGGTGAGCAGCCAGCATGTCCCATGTGCAGATTCAGCCTCGGGGTGTGTGGCAGCCCTTCTCTGACTTCTTACCCATGCACACGCAACTTTGAGTGATGGTGACACCACCCCCTCTTCCCCAAGTGCCCTACCTACCTTCTCTACTTGCTTCTGGTGGCCATTGACACTAACACGCTCAAAGGCCTGCTCGGCATCATCCGCATCCCGGCACTTCTGGTCGTATGTCTTCTTGGACTGCAGGTGTGGAGGGGTGTGGCTTGCACAGTCCTACTCTGTGGTCCCCTGGAGTGAGACTGCCAGAGCCCAGCCTCCCTCCTCCCTATAGAGTGGGGCTATGATGGAAAAGATTGTCCCTCCCAGGGATAGGGATGTGGGGATTGGGAATGGTGATAAAAGTGGGGCCTGATCCCATGGAGACTTTGGGCCCTACCTGTTCAGGCCTTTGCACCTGCTGCCTCTCATGGCCCCCTTTCCCCTACCTGTCCAGTGTCCTAGGGACCCTGCTCAGGCATCCCTCCTCCCTTCTACTTTTGGAGCCCTCTGCTAACTGTGGATCACCCATGGGCTACTGTGTGAGTGGTGTGAATAGGACTGTCCTTCTGCCCTTTAGGAGGACCCTGAAAGGCCTGAGTTCATACACCTGGGCTTTCAGTGCAGCCCCCAACAGGTCGATGTATATGGTAGACTGAGGCAAGCCTGTCCCAGAAGCCCAGCCTGGGACTCCTGTGAGGGGACCAGACCCTCCCATTTACCTCCATGGCCTTCTTGTAGAGTGACAGCTTGCTCTTCTGGACACGGTCCATGACAGCCTCATACTGCAGGGGACACGAGGTTCTGAGCTGGGGGCTCTGGCCTCAGGATGCTCCCCTAAGCCAAGAGGACGAGTTGTCCCTGGGATGAGGCATAGCACCCCTCCTGGCTCGTGTGTGTGTGTGTGTGTGTGTGTGTGTGTGTGTGAGAGAGAGAGAGAGAGAGAGAGAGAGAGAGAGAGAGAGAGGAGAGAGAGAGCGAGAATGTCCCTGTTCAGAGCTGCCTCCTTTACAACTCGGACAATGACAGAGAAGCCCAGGCCTTGGGTACACCTAGTGTGTCCTTGCTGTGGACCCCAGCCTGGCTTGGTCTCCATCCAGAGAACCTACACAAACACATGTGTGTGTGTGTGTGTGTGTGTGTGTGTGTGTGTACATATTCACACAAGTCCTGAGTCCTTCATTTACAAGCTCCTGTACACATCACTGGCTCACACAGAGTTCCACATACACACTCAAGTATGCATAGTCTCCATCTCCCAGGTGCTCACCCTCAGGCCTTCTCTGCGTACCCACAGGCTATCCATGCATACACACACCCATGTTCACCTATTCGTGACCATTGGTCAAGCGCCCACATATATATACTCATGACCACACCATGGATACAGCAGCCTTCACCAGCCAGGCTTCTTGTTCAGATGGGGAGAGTGAAACAGGACTGAGGCTGGGGGTCAGGTAAAAAATTCAAAGTGAAATGCCTCTGGTGTTAGGACTGAAGTGGGTTTGTTGCTGGGGTTCTGCAGAGGGTCTGGCAAGACACCTGATTATAGAGCAACAGCACAGACACTGAAATCTTCATGTGCGTTGGACCAGCTGAGGACATGGTGTGCCCCTCTTCTGCATCATAGGTGTACCTAGATACAGCCAGGCTCACTGCACACCACAGCTCTGCTGCCAGGGGCCTGACATCTGTAGGGATGGAGCTGTGGTCCAAAGCAGCTTTTGTAGACATCACAGGCCCTCTGACCACAGAGAGCTGGGACTAGCCTAGCCAGGGCCTTGCTGGTAACAGCAAGTTTTCTGCATATTCTTTGGCAAGCCCCAGATCACAGGGGTCACCTGCTCCAGCACCTCAAGGCCAGGTAGCTTTTGGGGATTGCTTTGGGAACTCTGCTGAGGAAGAAAATTAAGAACGGCTGTGTGTGCAGACAGAACATGCAGCCACACTGTTTGTGAAAGGCTGAGTTCTCAAAACTAGAGGAGGACAAGTGAGCCTCATCATACAAGAGAGAAACGGAGGCACAGGGAGAGAAGGGCCTCTCCAGGACCCCCAGGTGTAGCTTGGCTCTAGCTATGAAGTGGAACCTCCTTATCCTCCCCAGCCTTGTCACAGCTTTTCCATCTTCAGCTCTTGGACCTTTGCAGTGGCCCTCCTCTCCAAGCGAGCTGTGTGCCGATTATTCTCTCCAGGGCTCCTCCACAGGCCCCAGGAGAACCTGTGAAACTAGCCTGTATCCTGCTTGTCCTCCCAGTGGAGCAGTTGCTCAGCTAGTCAGAGACCCAGTTGGAGACTGCCACCTGCAGCCTCCTGGTAAGCATCCTCCAGCCTGATGGAGAGCTCACTTCTTTGTCATGCAGCCACTCCATGTGAGGTGAGCCAGGCTCTACCCTCTGATGAGAAGTGTCTTCCAGGATCAGCTGAGCCCTGAGCCCTGCCTTGTACCCCTGAAGTGGTGTCTTCTCTCTCCCTGCTAGGCAGCCCTGCAGAGTACTGGCTCCCAAGTCTGCCTGTTTTTCAAATAAACAGCCCAGATCGTGTTTTCAGAACCAGCTTCCAGGGGCCACTTGACTCAGGTTGGCTCCTCTGAGCTCCCAGAGCTATCCCTCACCCTCTGCAGTAGGTGAACTAAGATATTGAAGAAGCCCCACATTGTTTCTTCTTCCTGGCATGAGTCAGCTCTGGGTCAGGGCCTCTGTGGGGTTCTTGGGCCCAGAACTAAGCCTTTACCACATCTCCCTTTCACCAAGCCACCCCAAAGTCCAGATGCTGTCCACCCCCTATAGGGCCCCCTAGCACTGTGGCTAGCTGTAGCCACAAGTTCCTGCCTCACCTTCTTCCGCTGTTCCTTCTGTCTCTCACGGAACTCCTCCAGGCTCCGCAGCTCCTCACGCAGGGCCAGGGCCAGCTGAATGTGTGCACTGCCCACATTCTCCATTTCTAGGGTCACAGTATGGCCTCAGCTACCCCAGCTTACCCTTGCTTGGACCAGCCTGACACCCCCACACTTCACCTCTCACCCCCCACATCCTCCATCAGCCTCAGCCTGGTATAAAGCTGGGCTATAATCCAAGCCCATTCTTCCTAGCTAGACTCCGTCACCTCTGATTGTGAGGGACCTGGGTTTTCCAAGGCAGCCCTGTCACCCTGCTGCCCATGTGGGGTTGGTTGGAACTTACGCTGCTTCAGGGAGTCAAAGGAGGTCCTCAGGGAACTGCAAAACAGAAATCCAGGTAAGCAAGCAGACACATTGCAGGAACCTGAAGTCCTGCCTGGTCCGTGGGACATTCATTTTAATGAGAGAGAGAGCTATCAGCCATTTATATACACTACTCTGGGTGCAAGGGACCCTTTAGTCATGGTGACCACCCATGTGAACTCCAAACTGGGATTTCTGGAAGTCAGAGCTCTCTTTGGAAATTAAAAAGCAATCAAACCTCACTGTGGCAGGAAGGGGAGCTATCCCATCATCCCCTCACCCCCCTACTTGTTCCTGCATTCTTAAAAAAGAGGAACCTGTCTTCAGAATGCTCCCTACCTCACTGAAACCTCCCTTCCTCTACAGCACCCAGTGTTCCCACAATCCTGTGCTACCAAGATGAATTGGAAGCAGGAGAGGGCCATGGACAGCCCCTTCCAGAAGGTGGCCTGGAGGGCATATGGAAGGTAAAAAGTGGGCAGGGGTCCAGGCAGAGAGAGCTGTAGTCACTGACTAAACCAGGGAGGGGACTGAGGGTTGGGAAGGGAAGAGGCTGTATGGGGCAGTGTGGGAGTCGGGTGGGGCTTAAGCAGGAAGGGTGCCAGATGGAGCCAGTGAGGCACTTGGGCAGCCAGGTGGGGTGGCACAGCCTGGAATTTTGCACTCAGGCAGCAGAAACAGGGAGATCACAAGTTCAAGGCCATCCTGGGTTACACAATAAGACTCTATCTCAAAAAAAACTCAGCCCTGTCCACACGCAAGGAATTTCCAGGGGCTGGAGAGATGGCTCAGCACTGGCTGCTCTTGCAGAAGACCTGGGTTCAAATCCCCAGCACCCACATGGCAGTTAACAACCAGCTGTAACTCCAGTTCCAGGGGATCCAACGTCCTCTTCTGTCTTCCACCAGCACTGCATGACATGTGTTCACTTACACACATGCAGGCATAACACATAAAATAAAAATAAAATTTAAATTTAAATTTACTTGAACCTCAGATTAAAACAAGCAGATACTTCTAAGTGTCAGTATGCCTCACACACAATGAATGACCCCCACACACATTAAAAAGAGATAGAACTGGACGCTCTGTACTCTCTCTGGCAGACATTGTCAGGGAGCAATTCCCAGAGCCTGAGGATGCTGACAGCTGAGCTGAGGTGCAGGAACTCGCACCCCAGAACACAGTTCTGTTTACTGGGAGGTTAGAGAGGTTCCAAGCAGAAACAGGACTGGTAAGGAAAAGCCCAACAACTCTCAGGAGCAGGGCCTTTAGGAGGAATGAGTTCTTATCAGGGGAGGACAGCGATGGTATGGAGGCCAGCCTAGGCAATCAGCAGGAACTCCTGGCTGCTTCCTGCTCTGCACTCCCCCACACAACAGCAGCAGACCCTGGAGCCAGATGGCCAGGCTCTGCTACTCAAGCATTATGTGCCCTTGGGCAAAAAATGTGTGACTCCCTCCTCACCAGGACACCTGAGAATCCAGTTAGCCCAGGTAGATGTGGGAACTGAAACGAGAATATGGCCAGGCTGGCTGGGGTCACATAATGTCTGCCTGCCACTGCCCAGCGCACACAGCCTTTCACTACCTCTCTACAGAGCGCTCTCCTGCCCCCTGGTGGCAAAATGGGGGCATGACGCCCATCTCATGACCCACTCTCTGGGTGTCCTTGGGGGCACTTCTGCCCTACTCAAGGTAGAGCAAAGTATGCTTCACAGGGCCTCCCTCTTCTCCTTGGACAGTTGGGAAAACTGAGAGCAAGGAGGAGAAACAACCTGGTAGGATCAAAACCTGGGGATTGAGGCTTGAGGGAGGATTATAGTTACTGCCAAACCCTTTCCTTGAATGACAGGGCCATAGACCAGCAGCTGGCAGTGAGCCATCAGAATGCAGGCATCCAGGTCTCTCTAGGCCTGCTGTCAGGGGCTGATGACACATTCAGTGTGAGAATGGCTGGCCTGAATGATTTCCACCTCAACCCCACTAACCAAGACACCCAGATTATGCCCACTTTACAGGTGAGGAAACTGAGGGTCACAGAGGCAAAACCCTGCGCCCATGGCCATGTAGTTGGTAAGAAGAGAGATGACTGCGGTGGTGACCCCACCTTCTCTCGAGTGGTAAGGGGTCAAAATGATTCTCTGACCTCTGTCATCTGCCACCAGTGCTCACAGGTGTAACTCATCCTGTTGGCCTTTTTGAATTGGTTCTCAGGAAACTTAAAATGGAAGTTCTATGCTCAAGAAGTCTATTTTTCCCAGTACAAGTATCCTCTCCACTCACATGGCATACATCACATTAAGTAGCTGTTTTAACCAACTGCCAGCCAGGAGGCTAATGCCTCCCAGTTGGAAGCAGTCCCCTGTGACCTCCCTATGCCCATGGTGAGCTGGTACTGAGTTGGAAACAGAGCCATCGCCTCCTCAATGATGTCTTCATTCATGCTAAGTTTGGGGGAGCATAGATCATGCAAAATTGGACAGGAAAACCTCATTTAGGGTTGTGAGAGTTGACCAGGAGGTGGGCAGTGAGGTGCCCCTAGGTGGCTGTCCCTACTCATCTGGGACCACAGAGGGGCTCACCAGACATTGACCCAGACCCATTCCATTCCCCTGAGGCACCCACTGCACCCTGCCTGGGGCAGCAGGAGCAAGATGGGAGGAGGTGAGCCCTTCCAGGGAGGTGATGGTTTAGTCAGAACTAGAGGGCCAGGCAAGGCTCTGAAAGAGGTGTGGAAAAAAATCATTTTAAGATCCAATTAACTAGCTGGGTATGGTGGCTCACTCCTTTAATCCCAGCACTTGGAAGGTAGAGGCAGGTGAATCTCTGTGAGACTGGGGCCAGCCTGGTCTACATAGCAAGTTCTAGGGCAGCTGTGGTTATAGGAAGACCCTTTCTCAAAAAGACCCCAAAAAGTATACAATCAACCTTTCTTTCATTTATGTGAACCAAGCCTGGGTCCTGTGAGGCCCTAGCTGCTATAAGGTTGGAAATTGGAACCCAGGCAGGCACACTGGTCTTTAGGCTGCAGGAGTGGGGGCAGCCAGCACAGCCCTTTTGGTGTGGACTACTTATGGGGTTACTTAATCCCCCAGTTTTTGGTCTTTGCTGCCTCCTCCACTCTGCTCCCAGCCCTCTGCCTGCCCTCTGAGGGCTGAGAATGAACTTTCCACATGCCAGAAGCAGCTCCCTAACCCAGGAGGAGTGGGTCCTGGAGATTGACCACAAGTAAGACTCTTTTTCCTAAGGACTAAACCATCTGCCCAAGTGTCCATGCCAGGGAACCAAGGAGGTACAATGGGACCCACTCACATTTCTTACCAAGATCCCTCCAGGTTGGTACAGAGGGGATGACCTAGTCTGACTAGGATGACCTAGTCTTTGGCATGGGATAAAGAGGAGGAGGAAGTTTCATTTCACCGAGCTGTAAGATGGTCTTGTTTTGATTTCTTAAAATCTTTTAAAATTTATTTTATTTTTTTATTTTATGATATGAATGTTTTACCTGCATGTATGTAAGTGTATTCATGTTGTGCAGTGTGCATGGAGGCCAGAAGGGGGCATCAGATCCCCTGGAACAGAAGGTTGTTAGCCACCATGTGGGTGCTGGGAACAAAACCTAGGTCCTCTGTAAGCACAGCCAGTGATCTTAACTGCTGAGTCATCTCTCTAGCCCCTTGTTTTGAATTCTTAATTCTCTCTGGCAGTCACGGCTACAGCACATGGGAAGTATTCCATAAATACTTGAGTACATGGGCAGATGACAGATGCTTGGCCCACAGCTAAAGACATAGCAGCACACTTCCAAAATGCCACCATGTGCAGGGATCAATGGGGCTGCAGGGGACACTTCTGAGGGAAGGGGTAGGCTTCACCTCACCTCACCATGCACAGGCTCTGAGTATGCCTAGTGCTGCACCTCTGGGCCTTTATCCACACAAGCAGTCAGGCAGGGATGCCTTCTCCTCCTGGGAGGGGCCCCAGGCCCCTGCTCCCTACTCTGCCCTGATCTCCTGTCCCAACCCTGTCCTGCTCCTGGCACCTTCCTATCTGGGCTGCAGCCTTCATTGTGCCTGAACCTTAGCTCCAGTTCCTCTGTTGGAGGCCGGAGCATCAAGGCAGACTCTGTCTCCACTCATACCCTTGGGGTCCCTCTTTGCATGAAGTAGTGCCTCCGCCAAGCCCCCATCTCCACCTCCAAGGACCCTGTCATCTCCCTGTGCAGCTTCCCCTGTGGCTTTGTCACTGGGCCAGGGGCCAGGCCAAAGAAAATGGTTTAGGGAGCCTAGCTGGTACATCTTCCCAAGTAAGCAGTGTTTAGTTTATCTGCTGTGTAGAAGGCAGGTACATGGGGCAAATATGTCTGCAAAGACCCCAATGCTCACTGAACACACTTTCTTTGCCATTCCAAGTGTTCAGAGGGCCTCTTGGGGCAACCATCCCTTTCACAGGCAGGGACTTAGGACTCATCTAGGGGGAGTGACTGTCAGAGGGTCCCACAGTAAACAAGGTAGGCAGGTACTGACCCTCTTGCCTTCCATAACCAGGGAGTGAAGCCCATCCAGGGTATCAGTTCAGCCACCACGTGCTTTTAAAGTGGGTAGGAGAGTGCATGCCTCCCCCTTCCCAGGACACTCAGCTCACAACTACATCTTGTTCTCTGCTGGTCAGTCCCAGGTGACTCATAGCCTTGACCCTCAGCTTGTCTCTGCCCCACCTAGGGGAGCATCATACTTGCTCCCACTTCCCTAAATTTTAGTCAGTGACTCTCTCCTGCTCTGTCCAGGCTGGCTATATGAATGCTTAGAGAACCCACACATTTTATCAAAGTGACCCCAATGACTTCCTTTGGTCCAGTGGTCCCTGGCCCCTGTTCAGACTCCAAAGAAGGCTATGCTCTTTTCCCACTGCTGTGAGGAGTGGAGACAGTGGAGTCCTGGGCATAGCCAGGCCCACAGCTGGTGGGCGAGAAGTGGGTGCTGGCACTCAGGTGTGCCCTCACCTGGCTCCTCCATCCTTGAAGCACAGGTTGAGACAATGTTGCAGGGAGCTGTGACAAACAGGCAAGGGCCTGGGTAAAGGAGAGGACTGGTGGCAACAATGTCTCCTGCTCTTCTGAGCATAAAGACTAGCACATAGAACCTGACCACAGAGTGCCCAATGACAGGCACCAAGCAGGTCCTGACACCCCTGCCAGCCCATGCCCCGTCCACCCCACAACAGAAAGCCCCAAGTCCTATGTAAAGTCCAGAAGATTCTCCAGAGGGAAGGTAGGAGCCACCAGGATGCTTACTTGATCTCTGTCTGGCCACCGGCCTTCCTCGCAATCTGCACCAGCTCCTTCCCATACCTCTCCTCGGCCTGGGCCCTGCAAGGACAGAGTAGGTAGTGTGTCCCCTCCTCCACTGTTGACTGACTATGGCCCCCAAAGTGCTTGTGCAGAACCTGAGTTTTCCCATGGTTCTCTGGGGACAGGATGGCTGCTGAAAAAAGTTGAGCCCCATCTTTCTGGGAATGAATATGAGCCCAATACAGGGCCATATAAAGAGATACTGCATGGTGGGCCACCTGGAGTACACCCAGGTCTAAGAGAAACAGCCTCTCTCTCTCTCTCTCTCTCTCTCTCTCTCTCTCTCTCTCCTTCTCTCCCCTTCTCTCCCTCCCTCCCTCCCTCCTCTCTCTGTCTCTCTCTGTCTCTTCTCTCTCTCTCCTTCCCTCCCCTTCCCTCCCTCCCTCCTCTCTCTCTCTCTCTCTCTCTCTCTCTCTCTCTCTCTCTCTTTCTCTCTCTCTCTCTGCATGTGAGTGTAGGTGCACAGGTGCCATGGTGCACATGTGGAGGTCAGAGGACAATCTTAGTTGTCATTCCTTGTCTTCTGTCTTGAGACAGGGTCTCTTTGTGACTCTGCATTGCATACACCAAGCTAGCTGGCCCATAAGCATCCAGGAATTCTCCTGTCTCTTCTTTTTATCTTGTTATAGGAGGGGATTCGAACTCAGGTCCTAATGCTTGTGCAGTAAATGCTTTACCCACTGAGCCATCTCCCCAGCCTTAGCTCATGGTTTTTGAAAGCAGCCCCACATTCACAGCAGCTGGGCTGGGATAGGGGACTTAACCACTTTTTGAAGCCTGAGATGAGGGCAGCCGCCCTCCCTACCTGCCCTGCCCCCTGGCCTGTCCCTGCTTACCTCTGCCTGAGCAGCTCCTCCACATCTTTGCACATCTTCCTGCCATCCAGTAGCCGCTGCAGCAGCACCTCGTAGCCCGTGTGGGCTGTAAAATCCCTGCACTGTAACATAGGATAATGAATGAGAGCCCCAGTAGGATGGCGGGGATACTGCTGATCACTTTTGGAACACCCTCTTTTTGGCCTCTACATGTCCATCCAAGGTCAAGCACTTGCAGATGGGTCCCAGCCTCACACTGGCACACTCCAGTGCCCCAGATGACTGGGCAGAGGCTGCTGAGCCTGGCATCAGGCCTCAGAGCCCAAGACACATCAACTGACACAACAGTAGATGAGAGGGGGCCCCACTGAGGCCCCATGACAGCCAGACCCCAGATTTTCTCTCACAGAATGCCTGTTGCAGCTCCTGCCCTCATCATCCTATTATTTCAGCTAAGTGAGGAAAAAGGTACAGGAAGTAAAAGTGGTGGCTGCCTCAAGTCCCACTCTGTCCCTCCACACTACATGGCCTCTTAGGGATTCATGGGCACTATCTGTATCCCGGTGCCACTCTGGGCTCTCTGCATGGCCCCGGGTCATCCTCTCACATAAACCTGGTGAGGAGGCATTGAGGGTGGTTTCTGTGTCAACCTGGGCATGCCCTAGCCCATCCTAGGTCATTTCTTTTCTTTCATTGTGCTGGGACTAAGGCTAGGGCCTCGCACATGCTAGATGTGCTTAGTGCTCTAGCACTGAGCTGCACCCCCAGTCATGGGTCATCTCTTAACTGAGGCAAAAAGGGCATCTTTGGGAATATTGGGAAGCAGCTTGTCTTATGCCCAGGACTTGCCCAACCAGTCCTGGCTGCCTCCTGACCAACCTGAGCCCCCAACCACCAGTGGATTCTGAGTATGTGTCTGAGCTGTCAGTGTGGGCAGCTAGAGGACAGAGGTAGAATGCAAGGACTGTGAGGGGCCAGAGGTCCTACAATCCCCAGACCTAGGCCTCATTCATCCCTCCACAGCTCTCCTGGGTCCTGTATGCATGGTTGACTCTAGGCATGGGCATAGTAAGTAGATCATAGCTTCCACATTTGGCCTCTGCTCTCCCCGGAAACCCATAGGTTGAAGCCTGTGGCAGCACAGAAGAAAGTGAATTGGGAACCTCAGGCTCCCCCACCCCCCAGCCCTTCCCTGTCGGGCGGGGGGTCACTGAACTGGATGTCAGTACTCATGCCACAAAACCACAGACCCCAGAATTACCAAGTGTCCCTCAGCCCTTGGGCAACTGAGGTCCAGAAAAGGGAAAGGCCTGCCTGGAGCCACAGTAAGGACCAGAACCTAGACCCCCAGGGGCCTGATGCTCCCCCACTGTACCTCTGAGGGAGATGTAGCGCTTAGCAGGGAGGGCTAACAGGATCTCCCCTCCATGCCTAGACCTGACTCTCTAGAGGGATCTTTCTTCTGTCCTCTGAGCCCGAGTAGAAAGAAAATCCAAACCAGACCTACAGTGGCCATCCTTCAGGAGGTGGAAGGCAGCAAAGGGCCCTGCAGCCCAGGTCCTCAGGAGCTCAAGTCCCCACAGCGCCTGCTGTAGACCATCCGGCCTCTGTATAGAGACACTTGGCAGAATGAGCCACAGTCACAAGTGACCTAGCTGCTTTAAGGAAGTGCCTGGCCCCTCAGGGCTGCCTGCCTTGACTCCTAGCCCTGCCCCCACTTCCCTCCTCTTTCACCCCCACACCAGCCACCTTCTCAGAGGGTAGACTGACTCATTTATTGTTCAGTATGTTGTTGAAGAGAGGAGCCAGATTCTATCAAAATTGTTCCATCCAAAGGCCCACTGCATCCAAAGCCAGAGTCACTGGGGGATGTCTTAGCTTCCCTTCTCCTCTTACCACCTCCCTACCTCCTCCTGTCTACCCTTAGCCAGTCGTCAACCAAATCCTGCCTGTGGTCTTGCTTATCGTGACATTAAAATGGAGCTCTTGTTGGAGGCTCAGCAGTTAAGAGCACTTGTGGTCTTGCAGAGGATCCAAGTTCAGTTCCCAGCACCCACGTTGGGTAGCTCACAACTGTCTGTAACCCCAGCTCCAGGGGATCTGACACCCTCTTCTGGCCTCTACAGGCACACACATGTGCATATCTATTCACACAGGCACATACATATGCATAAATAATAAAATAAATCTTTTTTTTAATGGAGCCCTTGTTGATTACAAACTGCTAGGCATTTACCAAGAGGAGGACTTGCAGTTGTAAATACAGATCATCTGCAGCCCTAAAGCATCTCTCCAGGACCTGAGAGCTGTTCCCAGGATGCAGCTGTCCAAAGGGAATAACACTAAACCTGGCTTTGGTAATTACCAGAGAGTGAACACCCAGGCCTAGTCTCATTTACCCTCTCTAGGCCTTTTCTTTTTTGAGACAGGGTCTCACTATGTTACCCTGGATGACTTAGAACTTGCTATGTAGACCAGGCTGGCCTCTAACTCACAGAGATTGCCCGAGTGTTGGATTGAAGGTTTGTGCCACCACGCCGGCCCTCACCAGTCTTTGTACCTTTCCCTAATCTGGCTGAGCATCTGTGCCCTCAGTTAGTTGCTTTCAGTTTTCTTTTAAAAGTCACTAATTGAGAATAAGAGTCTACAGAGTGTGGGTCCTTGGACAGGACTCCTATATTAAAATCCACCCATCCAAGGCTCAGGGATCATTGAGGAAGAGGGGGCAGAAAGATTGTAAGAGCTAGGGAGGAGGTGCATGAGCATACAGAAATAGTCCTACAGGCACCTGGGACCCTTCTCATATAAACCTACAGCAATGGTGTCGGCATGTACAAGACCCATGCAAACTTAAGCAGACAAAAACCCAGCACAAAACTGTGGAAATGAATAGCAGACCCCAATCTTAGTCAAAGAATTATTGGCAGCTGAGAGCTTATCTTCTTCAAGGGAGAGACTCTAGATAGGCCGGCTAGATCCCAGTGGATGAACTTGGGGACACTAACTTTACATGATAGGCCTTAAATGACAGAATGTAATAACTCCAGTGGGGGGGGGTGCCAAAGGAGAAGAGGTATAAAGATTTTTTTTTTTGTATGAAATACACAAAAATTCACTAAAAAAATTTTTTTTAAAGTCACTAATTCTGAGCTGGGCATGGTGGCACACACCTTTCCCAGCACTTGGGAGGCAGAGGCAGGTGGATCTCTGTGAGATCAAGGCCAGCCTGGTCTACATAGTGAGCTCCAGGCCAGCTGGGGCTACAGGGAGACCCTGTCTCAAATAAAATAAATAAATAAATAAATAAATAAATAAATAAATAAATAAATAAGAAAATGTTTAGTTTTATTTATTTTTTTTTAAATTTTATGTGTATGTGTGTATTGTGTGCATGTATGCAAGTACACCTGTGGCATAATGGATATGCACATGTGTGTGCCTGCAATGCCTGCAGAGGACAGAAGAGGGTGTTGGACCTCCTGGAACTGGAGTTAGGAATGGCTGTTAGCTGCCATGTGGGTGCTGGGAGTCGAACCCGGGCCTTCTGCAAGAACAGCCAGTGCTCTTAACTACTGAGTCCCAATAAATTTTTTTCTTTTTTAAGAACCTAAAGGCCATTTCTGTCAAAACTACTGATTCTTCACCTGGGCCTGCACAGGTGTCACATGGGTGAACTTTTAACCTCAGGAAGTCAAAATTCCACCCTTAGATAAGCTAATGCCATTAATTTCTGACCATGTTTTCATGAATGGTTGTGAAGTATGATTGTGTATGTGCTGACTATGAATTACTTTGCCTTCCATCCCCTTTTCCACACTGGATCATCCTACTTCCTGACCCCATAAACATCCCCAATCCCTGTCCTGGGGGCAGATCTGAGGTTTGGGACTCAGCCACTTTGTGAATACACTCTTTTGAAGCTCATGGTCTCAGTCGCTGGCTACTGGGAGCAGGGAAAATGGTAACAAGCTGTCCATCTGTTGAGTCCACCTGCTGCACACTACTCCTGAACACCCAAGCCACTGCCCTACCCCAGACCTGGCAAGGAAGGGGTGGAAATGAGGAAGCCCAAAGAGGGCAATTCAGCTGTTCAGGACAGAATGCTCTATTTGACCAAGTTAGTCCATCTGCAGAGCCACAGCCCTACATGCTATTCAGTAGACTAAGCCCACCCCATTCAGCTCCAAAATGGTTTCACTTTGAAAGATGAAAAAATTAATTGTAAAAAGATAACTTTTGCCTGGGAGACAGCTCATTCAGTAAAGTGCTCACTACGTAAGCATGAGGATCTGAGTTTGATTCCTAGTGCCCACATAGAAAAGCTGAGCATGGTGGCATGCATTTGCAATCCCAGTTTTGAGGAGGCAGACAGGTAGATCCTTGGGGCTTGCTGACCAGCCAGCCTACCCAAACTAGTGAGCTCCAGGTCATAGTGAGAGTCTCTGTCTCAATAAACAAGGTAAATGGAGGAGTAACACCTGAACTTGTCCTCTGGCCTCCACATGCACACACAAACACATGTGCGCCTTCACACATATGTGCCATACACACCATACACACATAAGTGCATACACACACACACACACTGTATATATATGACTTTGAGACTGGACATGGTGGCACATGTCCACAACCCCAGCACCAGAGGCTAGGAAGAAGTTCAAGTCTATCCTGATCTATGGAGTAAGAGCCTGTCTTAAAAAAACAAAAGAGACAACAACAAAAATATAAGCAAATACAACCCCCCAAACCAAGTCAAAACAAAAGATATCTTTTGAAAATGATTGCTCAAATTGTTTCCACCTCAGAGTAAGGCTATATTTCAGGCTTTAATCTATGTGCCATGGGCTCTCAGGGTCTGGTCAGAGTAGCACTGCCTAGAGAAAGGAGCACCAGCAAACAGCTAGAAGTCACACCCAGCCACAGGGCCTGGGAACAACTCATCCAGGCCAAGGTCCTGGGAGGTAACTAGGCACAGTCCCTTCTTCTGGGAGGCCCACCTGAGTCAGATGTGGGATCAGCTTTGCCATCCTTGGTGTGTAGCCATTCTGGGCCCCAGGGGGACCACCTAGGCTTCACCCAGGAGGATGAATCCAAGAGAGCTGAGAGCAAGAAGAGGCAT